TGGTTTGGGCTTTGCTTCTGTGAAGATTGACAGCCTAGGAGACCCTGTGGGCAGTTCCACTCTGTCCTCTAGGGACGCTGTGGGTCAGAATTGACTCCACAGCAGTGGGTGTGGTTTTTTGGTTTATGCCTAGGTTCATATCAAAATAAGGCAAAGCAAACCATTTCAGGTCAGGGTCCCATGACTCAGCTGCATGGCCACAGAAGCTGGACAGTCAGTATGACGCTGTCCTCTCTTCCCACCTACGTCTAGGGTGGGGGGTCTGCGTTTATCTGGTTCTGCTCACAGGAACCAGTAAGTTCTCAGCGGGCCTCAGACATCTAAGGGCAGTTGTGTTCCCGCCACAGAAAACTCAGCAGGTCTCCCAGAGAACCCGTAATGGGAGGCGGAACGGGGAACAAGGGTGCCCAAGAGCCATCGCCGCAAACAATAGTGTCTGCTGCTTGAGTCTCCAGGAGTGACTTAACGACCACCACCACACGCTGCCTTGTTCATTGGGACGTTTGCACTCTGGGTTAATAACCACTCTCTCGTCCTTAACAAAGGCCAAATGGAAGTCTTAAACAAGACGGCAGTAATTGGAACTTGATTGGAAAAACAGAGAAAATGGCTCAACTGTACAAGTTTAACAGAGAGCGAGAGAGCACGCTACGTGACAGCTAATTCTGTCTGGGTGAGGCGAGTGGAACGATTCCTGCGCTTAGCTAGTGGGCTGGCTGTTTTCTGAAGATAACGCTGAACATAAATGGACGTTAAGAGACACACTTACCCAGTTTCAGCAATGATTTCTGGTGCCACGTATGTTGGGGTGCCACAGACCGTGTACAGGGGACCGTCCACAATGGTCGCCAGCCCAAAGTCACCCAGCTTCAGTGACTTGCTGCCATCCTGGTGCTCGTAGACCTGAAACACATGGGACATGGACCACTGGCTTTAAGCCAAGCACTTAGCACAAGATTATTTCAGAAATAATACCGTGCTGTTTGCCAGGAAGGTTGGCACAGCAGTTTTTACACAAGCTTCTACACAAGCTGTTCAGTGACGCTGGTCACATTCTCCACAGGGTGTGAAGCTCTCACGGTCTCCATTCTGGTTGTTTGGTTTCCATTCATCTAGTCTCCCTGTCCCCTTACCTCCTCACCTTTGTTTTAAAACAAGTCATTGTTGACCGCTTGGTCAAAAGCTTTCCTGAAGAAATGGGGGGAATTAAGTGTGAGCCTAATGAATTTTTAACATAAAGTAAAAAAACAAAAAATCAAAATCATTCAGTGGTATACAAAGATTTACATCCTCCTTTGTGGTTGGTGTTAGGGGTGGTGAAGCTGAGTTCGACTTACAGTGACTTCATGTGACAAAGTAAAACTGTCTGCTCCTGTGAAGATGAAAGCCTGGGAAACCCTGTGGGACAGCTCTAGTCCGTCACCAGCTCCAGTCTGCCACATGGGGGCGTGCTGAGTTGGAATCCACTCACAGAATCCAACAAGAACATTCCTCATGGGAACAGGTCACCCGGTTCTCCTCCCAAGGAGCCACTGGGTGGGTCTGAACTGCCCACCTTTTGGTTGTTACCCCAGCACACAACTGTTGAGCCATCGGGCCCCTTCCTCAGAATGGTGCAAAGTGGACCAAGCTCAACTACCAGCAAGTGGTGATTTGCTGAATAAATTACGGCACCTTCATGCTGTATGACCATCGAAACGGGGATGTGTATCTGCACTTGTTGAAATATGTTATAGTTGGGACATGAGATCAGCACACTGCTGTCAAGTTGATTCTGACCCACAGCGCCCCTAGAGGACAGAGTGGAACTGCCCACAGGGTCTCCAAGGCTGTCAATCTTCACAGAAGCAAAGCCCAAACCACACCCA